TAAAAGAAAACATAGGAGAAACACTTGAAATCATAGGGACAAACAAAGCCTTCCTGAATAGGACTCGGGTAGCACCAGAAATAATAGCAAGAATCAACGAATGGGCTACATCAAATTACAAACCTTTTGCACAGCAACATAAAAAAGAGTGAAAAGTCAGCCTACCATGTGGGGTTTTTAAAAATTATGAGCATTTATTTTATCCTAAACACACCTGATACTGTGCTGTTAACAAATTCAGGAGAAGGTTGGTTTTCTCTTACCTAAAGTAAGCTCATCATAATTTTTTTTCTGTTTGGAGGACTTAGTATTTTAAACATTGGAAATAATCTCCTTTGTCAGCCTTACTGTAAAGGCCTTTGGCTATACTTAACTCTTCATTCTTGTTAAAAGGAGCTAATGTCAGTGTACAAAGCACTGCATATAGAAACATGGTGTGTCTAGTGAGTTGTGAGGAAGAGGCATTTCAGGGTAACAAAAGATATGAAAGTGGCTTAAACCCCTTAGTCACAGTTTGGATTTTGTGGTTTCAGTTAGGTGCATTGAACTGTAGCAAAGATATTAAATTGAAAATTACATAGTTTTAGGAAAAGGGGTGAGGAGCCAGGCATGGTGGCACATGCCTGTAATCCCAGCATTCGCGAGGCTGAGGCAGGAGGGTTGCCATGAGTTTGAGGACAGCCTGGGTTACATAGTGAGTTCAAAGCTAGTCTGAACTACATAGTGAGACCCTGTCTCAAAAAAAAAAAAAAAAAAAAAAAAAAGAGGAAGGTGAGCATGCTACACTCATAAAACTTTTTATAATATATTGTTAATTATTTTATTATTACTGTTCTTAATTTCTTCAATTTTTAAATTAAAACATCACCATACATATGTATGGGAAAATACATAGTACTGTATATATAGGGTTCTCTGATACCTAGTTTCAGGCATCTGTTGGAGGTTCTTGGAATATATCACCTCGTGAATGAAGAGGGGCTATCACAATATTATACAAAATTCTTCAAAAGTTTAGAAAATAGGTTCATGTATTTAGTTGTTTTATGGTTTTTCTTCTGGTAGATATACTCCTTAATGTAAAAATTTTGGAAAATAGAAAAGTACAAATCTCAAAAATCATCCTAATCCTGACAACCAAAGAAAATTACTTCTTTTTTTTGGTGGTGGTACAAGGGATTGACCTAGGGCCTTTGCACTGAGCTGTATGCCCTACTATTTATTTTTCATTGTGAGACAGATTTGCTGAGCTCAGACTTGCAGTTCTCCCAGCTCAGCCTCCAGCATGCTAGATCAGGGATGTACACCACTGGGCCTGCCTCATTTTTATCTTTCTGATGTATACCATTGTTTTATTTTTCCCTGTCTGTCTGTGTATTTATAGAATTATTTTATAAAAATTATTTCATGTTTGAGAATTTTGTTTTTTGACAGCCAGTTACGGTGTATGTGTATTGAACCCAGAACCTCATAAGTGCTAAGTGCATGTTCTACCACTGAGCCATTCCTGAAGCCCTCAGTTATATATTTTTTTTGTGGGACAGTTGTTTTTGATGGAAGGGAAACAATCATAAAGGTCTTGATGAGTAGAGTATATGTAAGCCTTTTAGGTTTAGGTAAGAGTGAATGGATGTGTTGGTTGAAAAAGCAATGAAGAGCATTTAATTTTACCTGCGGTGTTGATAATCACATAAACATCATGGATAGGATTCTTTAATTAGAGTTGTTGTTGCTGTGTCCACTGCCTTTGGAAATTTTAAAAGGTTTCGCCCAGTGGCTTTTTTCATTTTCTTTTAAGATAGAGTTACAAAACAATTAAGAAAAAGAAGAGATGGTGACTTTTTAAAAATGAACATAGGTAAAATCAAGCAGACCCACAGTGTTAAAGTAAGTATACTGGTTCTAGCAGTATATAACAGAGTTTGGAAGGAATTTCAGGCCCCATCCAACTAACAAATTTTACTTGTGCATGTGAGGAATTTGACCATTCAAAAGTTTTATAGCAAACTAGAATGGGAGACCACAGTAGTGTGGCAGGTGGTTACTGTTAAAAAGTGAATCTTGAGCTGGGGACATAACTCAGTGGCACAGAGTCTGCCTGGCAAGCACGAGGTCCTGAGTTTGATTCCCAGTACCAAAAAAAAAGTGACTCCTACTACTTTTCTCATTTTATTTTTGCTTTGTATTTTTCAATCTGAAGTTTCCTTATCTTCCATTTTCTCCATATATTTTCATCATTATGTAGAATTAATATATATTTTAAAAATCTAGGTGTTCATTGAATAATTTTATATTTAGTTTTAAAAGTGCATTTAAAAACTTATGTTCTTTTTTCAAAGTTGAACATTTCATTATTGTTTTACTTCTATATAATTTTAACTTTACTATTAATGTTATTATCATATTATTATGAATAGGAGCCCCACACATGTTATCTGAATAAAATTTCCAACTGTTATAATGGAAGAAGAATTTTGTTCAGAGTAAGCTGGATCGGGCAAGAATGGATAGAAAGGCTCATCAGGGAGTACATGCTACACTGTAAATACTCTAAAATAAGTTGTAAATATACTTGTTCCTTTTTGCTATAATAATTAAAATGTAAATACAATTTAGAGTGCTAATTTTTAAGGAACTTTATTTGTATAAGAATTTTAGAAATTGCTGAGGTAAAGAAAGAAATTTAGTGTGTATATATAGGGTGGAATTTCCCTTTAAAATAAGCTGAAGCACTTGAAAGCTGAAAAGGTTTGTTACAGCTGAGTTTCGTAAATTACCCAGAAAAGAAGGGATTAGGGAGACTGATCTAATTGCATGGCACTGACAAATATACAAGTCATGGAAACAGTTTTATGTATAAATTATTTGGGTGAGTCTTTGCTTTCAGGTATAAAAAGTGAAACGCTTATTCAGGTTGAAATCAGACTCAAAAGAGAATTTATAGTGAACATAGCTATGAATTATGATGCATTTGTGTACGTGTAAAATAAAATCCCAGTTTGGAAAGGAAATGTTATTACATCACATAACAAGAAGTCCAGAGATAAGATAGATTTTATGATTGGTTGGTTTTGTGTCCAATTTTCTTTATCGCTCTCCACTCTGTCATTATAGAATCGATTTTATTCTCTTGCCTCTACAAATTGACTGTACATTGCATATGGATATGAAAATGTCTAGAGGAATAAAATTGGATTATTTTTCTCACCTGTATATCTATTTGCAAGCAATGAAGCACTGCCTAAAGAATTGAGTTCCATACTATTCCTAAACAAATATTTGTTGAGGGGAGTGGGTTAGGGCTTGATAATCATTCAGGGTAGAATACAGTTATAATAGCTAGTGTAACAGCTCCTCTTAGGAAGTACATGTTCCAAAACCACTACCTAAGAGCTATGTGATTTTGGTTAAGTTTTTAAATTTTTCTAAATATGTATTTCCATATGTGTAAAATAGAGATGGTAATGCCTGGTTTTTAGGGATGTTTTTAGAATTAAACCAAAGAAGTAGAGCAGTACAGAATCTAGCATTTGGAAAATATTCAATAAATAATAATTCTTTGCATAGTACAATTGTTTTACATCTTCTTTGACCTATTAGTCTGGTTTTCAATCTGTATATGTGACAAAAACTTTATAAGGTCTTACAAATAAATGAATCTGCTGCTGGAAAAGTAAAGGGAGGATGGATGGAGGGGTGAAAAAGAAGAGGATTGAAATGTATTATGTGCATGTATTAATCCCCTACAGTGATTATAATCATTATGTAGTAAGCATGTACTAATAAAGCCAAAAAAAAAAAGAAATATACTATTACATTGCTGGTACTTTTTTTCTTGTTTTTGAGGCAGGGTCTCACTATGCAGTTCAGAGTGGCGTTGAGCTCACTTTGTAGCCCTTGTTGGCCTCGCACTTGTAGTGATCCTCCAGCTTCAGTATCCCAAGTGCTGGGACTACAGGCATTTGCTGCTGGTACTTTTGCTATGTACAGTAGTTTTGTACAAAAAAAAAAAAACAAAAAAACCCAAAACCTATATAATAATGGAAATTGCACCATAAAGGTGCAGTAATTTTATGTTCTCTTGAAGATGTGTTGTAAAGTACCTAAACTAAAGATTTTGGTTTTCCATTCCTTTTCTAGATCTGTTGTATTTTGGTAACAAAAAGTACTGACACAAATCACTGTTGAGGGGAAGGGATTGGAGTGTAGTGAATCCATTTCATTTGTGGGTATAGAGATTAAACATGTGATACTAAAATAAAGATGTGGGAGATCACATAACAGAATTAAATGTAATTTTCCTGATCTTTATGCTTTCCTCTTCCTATTGTATTTAAATAAATGCCAGAAACAGTTTTTAAAGGCTGTGCATGTCTTTGTTTCAGTGACCTTTAGAACATTCCTTCAGCTAGGCGTGGTAGCGCATGCCTGTAATCCCAATACTCGGGAAGCTGAGGCAGGAGGATTGTTGCAAGTTTGAGGTCAGCCTGGGCTACAAAGTGAGCTCAAGGTCAGCCTGAACTGCATAGTGAGACCCTGTCTCAAAAAGAACATTCTTTTAGGTTATTTGTAAGTTATTTTATTTTCTGTTTCTGTTTTGTAACCTTAAATTATCTTCCAGCTTTTTTTTCCTCCCAGTTGATGCCCACTTCTTTCATGGTCTGTATTTATATCCTCTGTTAATACCACATAGTTGTCCATATATAATATATATTATACTATATATAATAGGTGCAATAATGTTGGGAAATACAGTACATTAGTATGATCTGCCACTAATGCAGTTTGTTATGTGGTTATGTCAACTAATGTTTTAGTTTTTATATTTAGAGGGAAGCATGAAGAGAACCTGAAGTGACACATATTTTATGAAAATGTGCTGTTGTACTAGTGACACATTTATAATTATTCTTAATGTAGGCCTTTGCATTTTAATCTTTTTTTCTATAATAAAAAGTCTGGCTAGGATGTAATTCTTTCTCATTCTTTGGTATTTGTAGATGGCTTGTTCAATCAGTATATCAGTCAACAGGAATATAAACCACGATGGAGTCAAATCATTCCCAAAAGCACCAAAGGTAAGTCATGCTTTCTAGATTGGGATGCTTTTTCTTTAGCATCTCAGTCTTCAGTTTTCCCAAGATAGCTCGAGTGTTATGGTACTTTGTTTATAAAAAGCAGGGATTTAAAACAACCTGTATATACCTTAACTAGATAGCAGAGTTATACACACACACACACACACACACACACACACACACACGCCCCTCCCCCCCATTGAAGTATATCAAACCTATGGTCTTGTATATGCTAGGCAGAATCTCTGCCACTGAACTACATTCTGAGCCCTACTTTATTATCTTTTAAACTTTTACTTTATTGCTACAATAAAGGCTGGTCAGTTGTGGGGGTTTTTTCCCCCCACAGAATACATATTATAAGCTGCTTTCCTAAAGAATATTAAAATTATGGCTGGGTGTGGTGGTGCATGCCTGTAATCCCAGCACTGGGGAAGCTGAGGCAGGTAGATAGTTGCAAGTTTGAGGCCAGCCACGGCTACAAAGTGATTTCAAGGCCAGCCCGAACTGCATAATGAAAAACACGCTGTCTCAAAAAGACAGAAAAAAAGATACTAAAATTAAAAGGCTGAAGTATATGTGTTCCTGAAAACTTCTAAGATCTGCGAAATTACCCTCTAACCTTAACAGGTCTTCTTAGAAAAACAAGTGGTAGACCATTATAAGAATGTGGAACTTCTAACCAGATACTGATAAAAACCAGTATAATCTAATAAAAATATAGTACTGTTGAATCTTTACAGGCATTTATATTGAGTACCATAGTGAGTTTGGAGCCTTAAGGTTTGGGGCTTATGCTTTCTTATTAGACATGAATCCCAGAGGACATCAGCTTCTAATAGGAACTGTTTTCTTCAATACTTAGAGTCTGGGTCAGAGTTTAAACTTTTTCATTAATCCATTATTTTCATAGAGGGGGAGTTTTTGTCTCTTCATCTGTACTAATTGCATTATTTTCATACACAGGGAGGTTTTTGTCACTTCTTCATCAGCACAAACTTCTTTGTCAGTTAATGTAGTGAAAAGTGTAACAGTTCTTCAGTGCACTGCTTTCATTAAAGGAAGGAAATTCTATGGGATATTTTTTACCTTATGGACTTAATATATTACTAAAGCCTTCTCTTTAACTGGGAGAAAGCTTCCCCTTCATCATGTTAGATATAAATATGCAGAGAAAAGTTTTTCTTGAACTTCCATAATTTCTTTGTTAACATGGATATCATTCTACTTTACCAGTTATGTGTGAGGTAATTTTCTTAAAAGACATACATATATTTGGAAAATAATGAATTAAAATAAATATATAAAATGAAAACAAATATATTTACTTAATCAGTTCTTAGAAGTGACAGTGCTGACTGGGAGGGGAAGAAGAAAAGGGCAAACTTCTAATGATTTTGAACTGGAAAATCTCAATACCCACCTATTAAAAATGAAAAAGAATTTCCAGGAAATTTGTGAATAGCCATCAAATATAGTAGTAACCCAAAGGCTTGGTTTTCTATCAGATTTTCATTATGTACTGTCATGTACTGTGTGACAGTGTTTTGGTCAGTGATGATGATCCCATAAGTTTATAAGGGAGCTAAAAATACCCTGTCACTTGGTATTTTTACTGAACCTCTTCGGTGTTTGGGTATGTGAATATACACAAATATTAAACCCTTGTGTTACAGTTGCTTACAATATTCAGTATAGGAACATGCTGTACAACAGTGATAGCGAGCCTTTTAGAGCTTTCAATGATATAAACAGCCCACTGTGGCATGTGTGCCACAGATTCGCCACCACTGTTCTACAGGTTTATAGGTTAGGAGCAATAGGCTTTACCTTGTAGTTTGACAGGTAGTAGGGGGTACCATCTAGGTTTGTGTAAATATACTCTATGGTATTCACACAGTGACACATTTCTTAGAACATTTCTTCATTTATAAATGGTACATGACTATATAGGAAATGATGCTTTAATTGTTTTTATAAGCCCTATGAAATTGATAAAAAGATAAAAAGTTTTCAGTTTTACCTAAGTAAAACAGGGAACCTTATTAGCCAAGTTTTAGTCAATCAAAAAGTTATTAAGAAAACATATTGAGGCTGGGTATATAGCTGAGCGGCACAGCACGTGCTTGGGAAGTGCAGGGTCCTGAGTTCAATTCCTGGTTCCAAAAAAAGAGAAACATGTAGACTTTCTTGTTTATATTAAGATATCAGCGTTTTTTAGAAAATTTTTATTGCAAAGAGAGTAGTAAATGAGAAACAAACAAAAAATAGAACAGTAGCAGCATACCAGTATCACAAACATAAAGAAATCAAAGCAAGAACATTTAAGATGATACAGGGTTTCAAGACAAAATAATACGAATTAGCGGTGGTTGTTATATTACATACTGCTATCCTCAGCTATGTTGCTCAGATTACCAGTTGTAAGAATGGAAGATTGCTCAAACCATTTAAAGAGAATAAGAAAATAATTATTAGATAAAACATGAGAGATAATACAGAGTTTCACTAGACAAGATGGTAGGAATTCACCATTGTAATTCCATTGCATGTTGTTACCTTCAAATCAGTTGCTCAGATTACCAGACATGAGCATGCAAAAGGATATTGGAATTTTATAACCTTTTGGAGCCATTCAAATGAGGTTATTTCTTCATTTATATAAGACTTAATGTAAGGTAGGATTAGGTATAAAAAACACCAATCATTTTTCACTGATTGTTTTTACCTGCCTACTGAGCTCTGAGTAAAAGTAAAAATCAAAGTGAAATAAACCTTACAATTTCTCAGTCAGTATTCAGAATAGTTGATTAAATTATGTAGGGACTGATTTTTGAAACGCTGTCACAAAATAAATACAGGGGATATAGCTCAGTGGCAGAAGTGCCTGCCTGGCAAGTGCAAGATCCTAAGTTTGATTCCCGGTACCAAAAAACAAAGCAAAACAAAACAAAAAAAAACAAATACAGTAAAGAAATTATTAATGTAAAACTCAACAACATCTTAGTTTTCTGTAGCTAGTTTTTATGGACCTTAAAACTGCTTATTGTACTAAGAAACTGTATCTGGAATATAGACGTGAGACCTGATTTTGTGGTTGTTATGTACCTTCACTTTGACACTTCAGTACTGTAGCTTTGAGATTTTTGTCTTAGTCTTTTGTAGAATACCCAGTATCCTTGTTGATTTATGACATTGTTCATAAATAAACTGAAAATAGCTTCTGACTGCATTAATAGCTTGAAGGCACTTGGAAGGAGGATCACAATAATTACAGACATAGATTTAAGTTGTACTGTTTTTAATGAATGCTTTTACTTATTTTTAATGTGTTGAAAGAGTAATTGTGGGTTATTTTTATTGTGCAATACAGACTTAAAAGTTACTGTAGATTTGCAGTTGTTCTTTTTCACTCTTTTAAAAGAAAACTTCATTTCTGGTTTAGGTGATGGAGAAGACAACCGGCCAGGAATGCGAGGGGGCCATCAGATGGTTATTGATGTTCAAACAGGTTGGTAATACTTGCAGTGGAAAGTAACATCTTTTGAAAAATTGTGAAGTTTTTCAACGCCTCAATAATTCTAAGAGTTAAGGTATTATTACTCATTAGTAGTAAATTCAGGTAATACCTGCCAGCACATCATTGACTTGCATTTTAAAATATCAGATAAAAGTGAATATACAAAAAAGGGAATATACTTCTTTTTATTCATTAGAAGGGTTAAATGTTACTGGTTATTGCTAAGTAGCAAAGAAAATAAGCATTGGCCGTAGGCATAACCTAAACCAGAGTGTCAAGTGAGATAGGGAAGGCTACTGCACAAATGAAATTACCTTACCTAAAAGAAATGTATTAATACAGCCCTTTATTTGTGTGTGTATGCAAATCTGTAGTTTACATGTGTTTACATATATTCAAGGAAGACGGAAGTATTTTTGGGTTTTTGGTGCATATATTTTAATATGGTAATCTGAGCATTATTAGACTTAAAAAGTAAGATATATCTTTGATATCAAAGTAGACAGTGAAGTGTTAAAAGATTGCTGTGGTTAATATATAGATATAAGTTGGAGAAATGTTTATCTCTAGTGTTCAATTTAGAAAAGAAACTATGTTTGTGAAGGTCCTTTAAGGTATAAAGTGAAACATCAGAAGACCTGATTGTAGAAGGCATTATTTTTTCAAAATGGGAAGGCGAAGAACTGGCTTGTTAGGACCAGAGAAAGAAAGCAAAGAAGAAACAGGGTGGGGGGTGAAGAGTGGGTAGAGCTAGCAGTATGGTAGAAATGTCACACTTTGTGACATGACTTTCTCTTTCTAACTAAAATCTTAGGTGTTTTCTCTATTAAAGTTGATTTGGGAATTTTCTTTCCTTTGTGTTTTTTAAAACAAGTTCTTGCTATGTTACCCAAGCTGGCCTCAAACTCCTGGGCTAAAGCTGTCTTCCCACCTTAGCTTCCTATGTACCTGAAACTATACTGTATAGGCATGTACTCTCATGTCTGCTTTGATTTGGGAGATGGATTGATTTGTAGAAACTGGTAAGGCAGCTAGGTTTTGGGTCCCTATTGAGGAGGGCAGAAGTAACGTTGCTTCTGAAGACTCAAGTGTGTGTGGATGTACAAAGAAATGTAAGGAAAGATGCCCTGGGACTTGAATAAGTCATAGAGAAAGCTTTGAACTTTCAAAGGACTCTGGTTGGACGTGATGGTACATGCCTATAATCCTAGCTCTTGGGAGGCTGAGGCAGAAAGGAGGGTCACTGGGAGTCCAAGGGCAGCCTGGCTACATAGGGAGTTCAAGGCCAGCCTGAACTGCATAGTGAGACCTTGACTCAAAAAGAAAAAAGAAAAAAACCCGAAAATTCTGAAGTTATGATTCAGGTTAAACTTAAACAGATATCTTATGAATGTCTGTGATCCAAGAACCTGCTGTAATCTAGAGAAAGAGAAAAACCCCCAAAAATACTACTTAAAGGTCTAACAACTTCAGACCTTGTCATTTCTAGTCTCTTGCTCCAGCTACCCATTACTGTCCAATTCCCTTTCTGCCATCATTCTCCCCCTCTCCCTTTTTTTAGTATTTCCATGTACTTATGTGAAACTTCATAAATGGACTTTAAGAACGTCCACAATAATACTAAAATGGTGTACAAAATTTGTTTCTTGTGTATTTTCCGGGGAGATTCACTACGTATGTAACCTGGTGAAACACACATGACTGTCCCATTGGGTGGCTTGCACCAGTGGTATTTAAGCCGCCAGGCAGTGAAACATATGGATTATGGCCCTGTTGTGAATGTATTAAATGGTTAGAAATAATTTTTGACATTCTGTAATACTGCTGAATTAGGTATTCAAATACAGTTTCAAATAAATACCTTACTTCATATTGGTATTGTTCAATCATTTTGTTTCTTTTAGGAGCTTCACCTGTACTTAGAATGAGATAAGAAAAATGATAACCATTGGTAATTTCCTACCATTTTGTCTGTAATTTGCTAAGTCCCCCCTATTATTATGTTATCCTTCATTTATTCTTTAAAATAAAAAAAAAAAGAGATAAGAAGCTGTTTTTGGGTTATGAGAGGTGGTATAAACTGACTTGCACTTTTAAAAAAATTATATGAAAAAATGAAACAATTCTGTAACAAAATAATAAGAGAATAACTATAGTTAATACACTCTGTATCATAAGCTTAAAAGTAGTTACTCAGAACATAAGAAGTAGACAAAAAGACTGTTAAAGGCAGGTGTGGTGCTGCAAACCTGTAATTCCACCATTAGGGAAGCTGAGGTAGGAGGATCTCTGTGAGTTCGAGACCAGCCTGAACTACACAGCAAGACCCTGTCTCAGAAAAAAAGCCCAAAACTCTCTTATAGAAAAAAACAAACAGGCACTCAAAACTTTCTTTTCAATGAACTAAGAGAAACTAGTAGTATAAATGGAACAAATCAGCATGTGTAGTAAAATAATTTTGAAATATTATTTGAACTTCTCCCTGACTTCCTATTTTCTATATTGTTTCATTCTTTACTTGTATGTATATATCTTTGGAGTTTCTTATACAAGAGAAACTGTGCAGTATTTAAGCTTGTGTGTCTGACTTATATTTCATTTATATTATGTTTTCAAGTTGCATCCATTTACCTATGAATGCTTCACGTTTGTCTTTATGGCAGAGTAGTATTCCATTTTAACAAAACAAACTAAGTCAAAGGCAGAAGCAGACAACCTTTGTAGGAAGCTGTACTTGAGAAATCATGAGAACATTGACTGATCTAAGAATGGTAGTAGTAATGTTGAGAACTGGTCAGATTTGGGATGTGTTTTGGAAGTATCTGCTTGTCTTACTTTTCTCTTGTTGCTGAGACAAAATACCTGATGCCCAAAATTAAGGAAGGAGAAGTTTATTCAGCTCACAGTTTGTGGAGGTTTCAGTCCGTAATCAGCTGGCTTCAAGTTAGGGTGGCACATGTCAGAGGGCAACAGTTCATGGTGGCAGAAGACAGCAAGAGCAACAAGAGCAGAAAGGGGGAGGAATAAGTGAGCAAGCTTTTCTCCCTGCCTTATATTGTATGCAGGCTACTGGGAGTGGGTGTAGCACTCATACCCATAATCCCAGCATTGGATCATGAGTCAGTCACAAACTCTGGAAGCCCACCCCACAACTGCATGAGGCTTTGGGGAGCAACCCAACACACACCATAACACTGCTGTAGTTGGAGTGCATCTCCCAGTGATCATTTGTTGAGATTTAATCCTTAATGTGAGGCATTAAGAGGGTGGAAAGCCAGGCTTGGTGGCACATGCCTGTAATCTCAGCGCTCGGGAGGCTGAGGCAGGAGGATTGCCATGAGTTCCAGGCCAGTCTGAGCTGCATAGTAAGTTCAGGGCCAGCCTAGACTACATAGTGAGACCCTGTCTTTTAAAAAAAAAAGTGGAAATTTAATCCAACTGTGGTGTTTTTAGAGGTGGACCTTTGAGAGGGGATTAGGATTGCCTAAATTCACCAGGGTGAAGCCCCATGGTTGAATTACCAATGGCTTTATAAGAAGAGGGAGAGAGACTAAAAGATACACAGATGTGCATGCAGGCTTCCTGTCTTTTACTGACCTGCCTTGTAACTTGCAAGAAAGACATCATAGAAATATAGCTTCTATACCTTGGACCTCCAGAACTGTAAGCCAAAATAAACGTTTTTTGTTAAAGCTCATGCAGTCTTGTGGTATTATGTTATTAGCAATAGAAAACTAATTAATACACCATCATGTAGAGCTGACAGGGTTTGCTGATGAATTGCATGTGGGGTATCAAAAAAAGAAGTTAAGGAAAACTCTTAAGATTGTGACCGGAGAAATTAGAAAAATAGTACAGCTGTTCTCTACGGGTAAAACAGGAGGATCAGCTGTACCGAGTTTTTCAGCACTTGATTTTAGACAGGTTAAGTTTGAGATGCCAATTAGACATCCACGTAGATATAATCAATTGACTATTAGTTTGGGGTTCAGGAGTCTTATCTAGGTAGGATAATCATTCCCTACCTACATTTGTATAACATTTTGTTATTCTTAGCAGCAGCAGCAGCACTAGCAACAGCATGATTATGTGATACAGAGAATTGAACCCAAGGCCTTTGCACAGAGCTACATTCTCAGCCCTTTATATTTTTTATTTTTCATTTTGAGATGAGATCTTCTAAGTTGCTTAATTGCCTCGTCTCAAATTTGTATTTGTTCTGCCTCAGTGTCCCATAGTGCTGAGATTATTTCCACTTACTCCTCCTTGGTTTCAGAGTTGCTTATATGGGTGTCATGTACACATTCCTGTTTGTTGAGCTCTCGAGCCCCAGTGGACTTAACGAGAAAGGACAAGAATCTTGCCTAGTTCATTTTTAGGGCCATTGAGCTTGGTATGAAGAAGATATGCTCTAAATATTTTTTTGGATGAATAAAATACCTAAATTCCATTTCCTATCAAGTAAAAAGAAAAATATTTACTTGGAGACCATACTGACATACTGCTATAAATCTTGATAAGTACATCATGTCTTGACGTCATTATTATACTATTTTTTTCTGAGGTGAATATTTTTGTTAGTCATATTGTAATGCATTTAAATTTCCTTACAATTCGGCTTCTTACTTTGTAGTCTTTAGACCAGTGATGATGAACTTTTTAGAGACGGAGTGCCTGCACTGCATGCCAGAACCCACTTATTTATTGCAAAGTGCAAACACTGCAATTAAATCTGAATACTAAGGTTTTGGTTTTGGAAAAACAACTGATATTCAGTGCTGAGCTGCTAGGATGACATGGATCACAAGGTGACAGAGAGGCTCTGTGTGCCTGCTGCGGCACACATGCCGTAGGTTAACCACCACTGCTTTAGACTATGCTTCCTAAAGCTGTAAGTACCATTACTTTGGGTTCTGGCTAGAAAATCCAATGATATGTAGAGCTTTGCATTCTTTAGAGTAATATTTGGTTAATATATCTTAATAATGAAT